CTTCCTCCTTCCATGCAACAATTCTTTATTGAGCACCTACTGTCTACCGGGGATTGTGCTGGGAGCTGGGATATAGCAATGAGTAAAATACACAAGATCCCCACCCTCGGGAAATCACAGGCTGTTGGGGCTCACAGACGTGACTCAGGTGTCACACGAGGGCATGTGAAGTCCCCGAAATAGGGGACTCCACCTCGCCTGAACAGGGAGGCTTCCGCAAGGAGGGGATTGCTGGGATGTGAGGGTGGGGTATCTAAGCAGAGGAAATAGAAGGTGGGAGGCGCAGAGGTGGGGAGAGAGGAGAGCACACTGGAGGGGTTGGAGGAGGCCCAGAGAGGCTGGGGTGTGGCCACGTGAATACACTCAGGTCCCGTGTACGCCTCTTGCAGGGCACATTTTTCATAGCAGCCAAAGAAGTGGAAGCAGCCTAAATGTCCATCAGCTGGTAAAGGGACAAAACGCAGTATTTCTGCTCATTGGAATATTGTTCGGAAGTAAAAGGAACAAAGCGTTAGCATATGACATAGCATGGATGAGTCTCGCATGTGCTATGTCCAGGGAAGGGACAGACACAGAAGAACAGTCTAAAATGTCCCTAAAGCTCTAACCTAGGGGACGGGTTAGTAGTCTCCGAGCTGGGGATGGGCAGGGGGTGACTACTGGTGGGCTCGAGGTTTCACAGATCATGGTGTTAACCTAAAAATAAAAGGCCAAAGTGGGAGGCAGCGAGCGTTTATTTGAGGTTCAAAGAACAGCTACTCGGGAAGAACCGATTCAGGCAGAAGCCCGAACAGTGTTCAGCTAGGAAGCAAAGGCGGGGATGTGCGTGAGCCGGGGCAGGGGAGCAGCGACATCAGCAGAAGGATTATTACATCAGTAGAATATTCATTACATCAGCAGAGGAAGGCGCCTCTGGGGGGGCAGACGAAGCAACGCAGTGATGGCAACTCTAAAGAAAGGTTTCCATTTTCTGCCCTGTCATCAGCCCCGCCGGTAGTCATGATATCTGCCCTCTTGTCATCTTTGCCAGCAGTTCTTTGGAACACAAGGTTGCTTAGGCCCAGTCCAAAGGTTAATTTGCCCAGTTCTAACATTCCAAAGGTTTGAGGCATAAAACATGCAAGGCATTTTCTCTGGGATGGTGGCTCTGACCCCATTTTAAACTCTCTCCGTTTATTTATTTATTTTTACAGCGGCGATAGTCCCACAATTTGTAAATTTCATAAAAATCACGGCATTGTACACTCAAAATGAATCGATTTTATGGCATAGGAATTGTACCTCAATAAAGCTGTTTTAAAAATCAGGTCTTAAATGGAGACATCTGTAAGAGTGTCAACAATAAAAATAAAGGAAACATCAAGTCTTTCTCCCCAAAGAAATGATTTTAATTGGCGATGGGATGGGATTGGCGTCGTAGATTGTACTATAAGTCCAACTCCTCACCCTGCCCCACATCAACGCCCTTCTCCAGGTGACTCTGCAGCTCCTCCAAGTCGAGGCAGGTGTCTGTCTGTGTCCCGGTCCCACCGGTGCCTGAACTGGGCTGTATGACTTGTCTGGTCAGTGGAGGGGTGGAAGTGACCGTGTGCCCATTCCCAGCCTGGGCCTTAAGAGGCACCTGTTCTTCCACTCACCCCCTTTCTGCGCCCCACCACTGCCATGAGGAGACTGTGCTGCGGGGGGTGAGCAACCTAAGTGTCCATCGATAGACAAATGGATAAAGAAACTGTGGTGCATCTATACAATGGAATATTACTCAGCCATAAAAAGGAATGAAATCTTGCCATTTGTAACAACATGGATGGACCTAGAGGGGATTATGCTAAGTGAAATAAGTCAGAGAAAGGCAAATACCATATGATTTGACTTATATGTGGACTCTAAAAAAACAACATAAATGAACATACAAAACAGAAACAAACTCATAGATGCAGAGAACAAGCTGACGGTTGCCAGATGGGAGGGGAGTTTGGCAGCTGGGTGAAAAAGGGAGAGAGTTTAAGAACATAAATCTCCACTTATAAAAAGCCATGGGGATGTGAAGTACAGCACAGGGAATATAGTCCATAATATTTCTAAAAGCCATCTCTTGGCCTCTGTTCTTTTACTGTTCCTTTTTCATAGCATTCTGTTCTCACTTTGTGAATGGTGTCAGGTGAGCACTAGACTTATCAAGGTTATCATTTTGTAAGTTACATAAATGGCTAATCACTGCGTTGTACACGTGAAACCAATATAATATTGTATGTCACCTGTGATTGAAAATTTAGTAAGTAAATAAGTAAACAGGTATATCTATTACGTCTAGGCATGGGCAGTTTTCACTCATGTTTTGCCTTTGGTAGATACTTTCATTCTGAAGTCTCATATTTTTAAGGCCAGGTATACAGGGAAATTTGGGGCACCACTGTGAGAACAAGACCTGGAGCAACCCGTGACCACGTTGGGAAGGGCTGCAAGATGACCCACGGCTGGTAGAGGGTGCGCAGAGGGGATTACAGCACTCCTGTTGACCCGAGGCCTGGAGCGTGCCCATGTCCCTGTTGGGAAGGCCACACTATGGGGGTCACCAGGCCTACGCTGCAGCTGTGAGGTCCCCAAGGGACTGCCTACAACTGGGGAAGGGCACCACCTGATGGCCCCATCCGCACGTCCTGGTGACAGACTGTGCTGCAGCAGGAGCAGCAAAAAGCAAGTGCAGCCCAGAACCCTCTCTTTCCTCCCCAATGGCCCCCAGCGCCCTCTACTGGCAAAGCTGAACATCATGCTCCCGGGAGAAATGCTGGAAGAGGCCAACCCTTCAGAGCAGAGCAGGTCCTGAGGGTGCACCGGGAGCTGAGAGGCAACCCACTGACAACAAGCACACTTTCTAAAAGCCGTCTCTTGCCCTCTGGTCTTTTACTGTTCCTTTTTCACAGCATTCTGTTCTCACTTTGTGGATGTAACAGCTTCCTGACATTTTCTGTGGACACGCTTACATTTTTTCAAGTTCTCTCCTACTGCTGTTGCTTCAGTTGTAGTCAGTTTTCCTGTTTGTGAATCTTGTTATCCTCTGGTTCTCCCTGAACCCTGAAGATCTTTGCTGCTCACTCGTATTATTTAAAAAGGACTACGCTGAATGTTCCAGTAGCCGGCGGCGTTTCTCCTGCTGGAGTTAGGGTGCCCTCTTTGCAGTGGGCCTCTTCCCGGAGCAGCAGGTCTCCCTGGGCGCTCGGCCTGCGGGGGGTGCGTGAGCCGGCGGCCTCACCTCAGTGACGGCGGAGACAGCNCCCTGGGCGCTCGGCCTGCGGGGGGTGCGTGAGCCGGCGGCCTCACCTCAGTGACGGCGGCGACAGCCGACGACAGCCAGGGCCTACCCCAGATACACAAGGAGGCGTCACACCAGAGTGGAAGCACCACACGGCCAGCCCTGGCTTCCTGTGGAGACCCCCTGAGTGTCTTTAGCCAAAAAGTTGATTATCTTGACCCAGGCACCACCTATTCACACTGGTTACAGACGTTTTTAAATTTTATTTTCAAAAGAAAGTTACCCTTCGCAATTCTCCATCTCACGCCCATCCTTCAATTTGCTCGCCTGCTCTGAGGCCAGGGTCCCTTGGGGGGGCTTATGAGCATGTTACCCCTCAGCCCTCAGGGAGTGAATTCTAGGNGCCTGCTCTGAGGCCAGGGCCCCTTGGGGGGGCTTATGAGCATGTTACCCCTCAGCCCTCAGGGAGTGAATTCTAGGGTGAGCTTCCCTCCACCTGGCTTCACTGGTCGCCACCCGCCCATCTGTTTTCTGCTTTCTAGAAATGTGTTGAAATCCCTCCGCGGCTCATGAACCTGCTTTGTTTTGTTTCTCGCAGTCGAGGTTTAGGCTTTTCTGCGCTCTCGCCAGTGTCCACCAGCTTGATTGGAGGCCTCTTAGCAAACTTTATGTTCACTTATCTTCAGTCAATAAAATGACCTTGCAAATAAGTCAAGATTTTACCAGCCCAACAATTTCAGCCAGAACTTTAAAAAAAATATCATCAGAAACTCTTACCAAAATGACAAATTTGTTTTTCATGCCACTCACTGGATCTAACTAGGCAAAGAAAACACAAAGCCCAAACCTGACCTGGTTAACAGCTGGGGTTGAAGGTCATTTGCCCCGTGGGGGTGGGAGACACGCAGCTACAGGGCACAGACTTCAGCCCTTTGGTCAGCGGTGCAGACTCCTTACCCTGGACGTTGGTGACCATCTCCGGTGGGGCCGCAGGGCAGGTGACGCAGCGGGCACAGGTGTTAGTAGCTGACGTGACACAGAACATGCCAGGCCGACATTCGCAGACGCGGGAGGAGTTCCACGTGCAAGGTGTCTTCTCCACGAGGTCATCTAAGGGACACAGAGAAAGGTCATCAGGAAGGATCAGGGATGGCAAGGGCGGGGGGGGGCAGAGAGGCCCCAGGAGGGCAGAGGTGCATCCCCCCCAGGAGCAAATGCTCAGCTGACTTTTCCATCGAGCTGGTCTCTGGCACCTGCAAAATAATCATGCTAAGCGAAAGAAGGCAGACGAGGAAGGAGCACACGCTGCATGATTTTGTTGACAGAAGATGCTAGAAAATGCAGCCTATTCCACAGTGACAGGAAGCAGAATGACTGCCTGGGCTTGGGAGTGGGGGTGGGGGAGGGAGATAGGAGC